CCCCCCCCCCCCCCCCCCCCAAACACATTTGGAGACATGGGAGTTACTTTGCTGGAAATGAGGCTCCTGCACAGCCATTTTTATGTGTAGAATTCAGTTTACAGAGGAAGTCTGTCTACTTGCTACCATAATAGAGAGGCATAGAAAGGACATGACTTATCCGTGCAGGCCAGTATCAGAGTTGGGAATAGAATTCAAGTTTCTTGAGAACCAGTCCAGTGCTGTAGTCCCCAGCCATCCCACATTTCTAAATGATGGGCCTGGGAACACAGGATTTGGCAAAATTATAGAGACGTAGGGCTGGAAGGGACCTCAAGAAGTCATCTAGACCAACCCCCTGCCCAGAGCTGACCCGAGCAGGGTGCGGGGCCCGGGGCAAATCAGCTTGTGCAGGGCCCTGCCTCCCACTCCGATCCCGCGCACCCTGGATATGAAGAAGCCGCCACCAGTGGCAGGGTGGGGAGGTAGTAAGCGCCCAGATGCAAAACCAGCACCAGCGGCTCAGAGTCACCATGGCCACACCACCTGGCTCCACAGGGCCTGGGGCAGTCTTTCCTTTGAGATGGGCTTCAGGCAGTTTTCTGGACTGGGTAGTTAAGTTATGACTTGGGTCCAGAGCTGATCAGAAGTATGGTCTGGATGCCATGGCACCAGTGGAGAAGATCTCTTATGTCATCCAGTTGAATCTATATCAGTGTGGAATCTTTCTTTTATAATACATTTTCCAGTTTGTCTAATTTTGAAAATGCAAAGTTATGGAGCTTTTGGCACTCTCTGCCTTCATGTGTCTAGCTATTGGTGCTTTCCCTCATGTGAAGGTGTAATTTTTTCTCTTCTGGGAGCCCAGTACTACATGGAGTAGTACTGTGCACTCTTCAAGATTAGCCCTTTAATGTTTACATGAGTTGAATATTTTAGGTGTTTTTCAGTCATGGGTACTTCATTTCTTAATCTCTGTAAATAAATCTCCTTGTACTCTCTCTCTCTCCCTTTTGCTGTTTTTCTGTGAACTCCTTCCAGTTTAATATGTTTGAAGCAATGTGGTAGGAGAAATAAACAGTGTCAGTTGCAATTGCACCAGGGTTAGTTAAAGCCTCTGTTCTTAATTGCTCAACATTTCAGACCTTTACATTTGAATTTGAGTTCTTACTGGTATTATATCTGTCTTGTAGTGATCTTTTTATGGAAGTTGGAACAAAAGAATTCGGGAGGGGTGTGAGGGTGTAGTAGGGAGAGAAAATATCTTTTTATTTATTATTATTTTTTAAATAGAATGCTTTTGTGACATTATTTTAAGAAGTCAGCATTCATAAGCTCAGCTGAGCTCCATTTCTGTGCTCCCTGTTGTGGAGAACTGAAGCTAAGATTTGGCAGAGAAATGGCTCCAGGGGAGAAATACCTTTTGAGTGTTCTGTTGAGCATTTGGTTTAATGTGGTTGAGATGTGTGCCTTTGAGAATTGCCCTTTGCACATACACAAGGACTTTGGCACAGGTTATTAATACATTGGGCAATGTTCCAAAGATTGGTAGGATGCTCTGTGTATGTGTTTGTTCAGATGATTGTGAACTCTACCCCTGGGTTCCATGTATCCAGATGAGTAATTTCTAAATGATGGGCCTGGGAACACAGGATTTGGCAAAATCATAGCGATGAAGCCTGGAAGGGACCTCAAGAAGTCAGAGCTGACCTGAGCAGGGTGCAGGGCCCGGGGCAAATCAGCTCTTGCAGGGCCCTGCTCCTGCTCTGATGCCATACACCCTGGATGTGAAGAAGCCACCACCAGTGGCAGGTGGGGGAGTAGCAAGCGCCCAGATGCAAAGCCAGCGGCAGCGGCTCAGAGTCATCATGGCCACACCACTCAGCTCCGCAGGGCTCAGGGCAGTCGTCCCGATTTCACTAACCCCACCCCTCAGATGGCCCTGCCTCTGCCTAGGGAAGCATCATCCCTATCCAAACCATTGTGTAAAAATCCATCGTCTAACCCAGAGGTCAGCAACATTTTTGGGCAGGGTGCCAAAAACACCTGCAACTTCAACTTGTAAGATGTTGGAGTGCCAGGGGCAATGGTGGGGGAGCCGTGAAGGGCCTGATCCTTGTTGTGGCTGTGTAGACCCGGCCCCTTACCCACCATCCACCCAGAGGCATGTGTGCCAAGCAGAATGTCTTTGAGTGCTACACTGGTACCTGTGCCAAGGGTTGCCTACCCCTGGTCTAACCTCTTAGCCAAAACACAGTCAACCTTGACATAGCACAAGATATTACATCTGAACCTGATATGAGGTAGAGCAAGGGCACAACAGCAGACAACATCTTGTGTGTCTGTGAAGGTTGTTAATATTCATTCAAGAGATTTCAGGAAGAGGGCTATGCCCCCCCACTGCAGAAGAAGGCAAACCCCGCCTCAGTCCATGCCAGTTTAGCCATAGGGTAAAATTCCTTCCTGACCCCCAAATTTAGTAACTCATTTGACCTTGAGCAGAGGAGCAAGACTCTCTAGCCAAGAACCTCCAGGTTTAAGTCCAGCAGAAACATAGGCGCACCCCAGTTCCAATCTGCAGTCTTTGCTGCAGCCAGCACCCTGTGCCTCTGAGGAAGGCCTAAAAAGTCCTGAAACCCTAACATGTAGCATGGGAGAGAAATTCCCTTCCAACCCCTTGTGGCAACTAGCAAAACTCAGAAAGATGAGAAAATGGATCTTTCTTCTGCAGCCTTCCCCTATAGGATTCCCCTTAGCCTGTGGATAGCTGGTAAGGCCAAGGTGACAGCCCAAACATGTCCTGGTTTTTCTTTCTTAGGCATGCATCTTCCCACCGTAGGCATATAAAAAATAATTCCTTGCAATCTGCAGTCTTCCACAGAGCCTTGAAGTGGGATGACTAGGGCCCAGAGCCGTTATTTGGCTTGTTCAGGGCTATACAGTGTTGTGCCAGAGCTGGGAGTATTAATCCTGCTTGATAAATTGGAAAACCCAGACAGAAAATATGCCTGATCTACCTGGCTTGCTCTCAGTGATCAGCCTTGTTGAGGATCTGACAGCAATGTGCTGAGTGAAACTGGGTGAGTCAGGATTATATCTAGACTTGTGCAAACTCAGCACAGCTAATTAGCCTGAGCACATCACATGAACATTGCTATATTTCTTTCAGATCAGGAATTAGCATCTAGAGGGTTAGTTGAGATCTCTCTAAACAACACTGCCTTACAGTGTGCGGACATACCCTTAGTAACTTCTCTGTATATTTGTTACATGATATTTAATACAAGGCTTCTCATTAGCTGTGAATATATTGTAAGCTTT